ACATTCTGAGAAACGCATCACTGAGCTATTTTGTCCTTATTGCAAACACCACACAGTATACTTGCACAAACCTACAAAGCAGAGCAGAGCAGAGCCTATACTTATTGATCATAGAATGCAATGTGTACAGCATGTTACTGTAGGCAACTGCAATATAATGAAGTATTTTTGTATTTAAACATAGAAAACATACAATGAAAATACTAGATGATAGAAGTTTTCCCTTTATAATCTTTTGGGATCATAATCATATATGTGATCTGTCACTAACAAAATTTCATTAACAAATTTAACGAAAACTTAGCTAATAGATACTCTTTTGCCTTCAGATCTTAGAATATTAAGTGAAAAAAAACCTAAGTGGTAAGAAATTCAAACAGGAAGCCTCATTAAAATAATTAGTATTCAAATAGAGAAGAGTAGGTATAAACAACCATCACATGCTTCCTTAACAGTTACAAGTTATTACAAATTTAAGACTGTAATTTGTTTTCTAAAATAGCAATCTTTTGTATTTTATCCTCAGACTTTATCAGAGTGACAATTTCAAGCAGTTTGCAAAATTTCTATTCTACTTCAATCTTCAAAACACACTAAATATATTAAATGTTTGTTTAGATTTTGCTATATCTGTTTAGCTATAATTCATTACTCTCCCTTTACTATAAAACTCATTCCCCTATATGCTATTTTATCTACTCATTTTAAAAAGAAGCAAACGTACTTTTTTACATTTTGAAATGTTTTGTTCTTTCTCTCCACTTTTTTTCCTTCTTTTATCATTGACCTTGGAAACTCTTGAAGCAGTTAAAGTAATTGAAGTTGGAGTATGTTGAAATGCAGTGTATAATTCCACAGGAACTTCATCACCACTCTCAGTTGCACTGGTATCACCATCTTCAAATGCAAAATGAAATTATTGGACATTTAATACTTGTATTTCAAAGAGTAAAACAGCATTCCACATGACACAGTATTATCTCTGTTTTTCTAAAGAAGAAACATACTTTTTAATTTCTTTATTCACCTCACTCGTAAGAAGATGGTACATTTAAATACAAACTACAAATGTCATTTCTTACACATTAAACTACAAAGGATCCAAAAGTCTGACAACAAAACTCTGGTTGTGTGAATGAGGAAAGAAACAGGCAATACCATACATTAGCAGTGACAATTCAAAATTCCCTATGGAGAGGAATTTAGCCACACCTTGAAAAACTAAATACACTTATTCTTTGATCAGGACTTCTATTTCTAGGGATCTAGCCAAAA